AGGATCCACAACTCTTTACTTCATGTTGGATCTATTCTTAACTTAAGGTTTCTATTTAACCTATCATCTTAACAACAAAGAGAACATTTTGACACTCTTATTTTATGTTCGTGTACATGTATGTGTAGGTGAATGGAATCCAGCCTCTAAAAGTACAAATTGCATATTCTAGTCTGAGTGTCATAACTGTTGCGGGCTCCACTCTGGACTCTTTTATTTTTTTTATAATTAGAATTAAAAAAAAATATTGTGTAATTTGAACTGTGTAATATTTATTATTAGATTAAAATAAATCCCTTAATATTAAGATTATCTTTCATTTTATTATTTTTATTTTATAATTTGAATTATAAAATACTTACTTTATTTTTAATTAAGAATTATGAAAGTTAGAAAGAATGCACTAACTGACATATTTTTAAAGAATCTAGGCCAAAAGTCTCATCTTTCTAATTCTTTATTTCACAGCTTCCACTCTTCCTTTATATGATCAATTAAAATTGGAATCCAGGTTAAAAAAACATATGAAGAATTAATTTCATGTGATCATTTTAATTCTTTCCATAAGGAAATTGAAAAGCTAGAATTTAATATGTTATCAAAAAAGAAAAGAAAAGAAAACTTATGGATGCAAAATCGCTTTGGATATGCCCCACTATTTCTGAAGTGGCTGAGGAGAAAAATGCATAGGTATTCAACCCTTTCTTAATGGTTTTCTCAATGGAGGATCATTTTTTTTGTGCTTCAACTGTTCAACACAACACAAATTGACACATACACTGTTTTAATGCAACAGATGCCTTTCTTTTTTTCATGGAACAACAAAAGCCAGCAGATTCAATTAACATTGATAAACAAGATTGAAAACTAAATCCAACTCTTCTGTAAATCTTGCTTGCGAAATGCTAATCAGATTTGACAGAGAGATGATTAATCAGTGATGGTGTGGATCAGGTCCTCCTGGACTCAGTCTTAGGGGATTCTCAAAAGGGTCTCCATCCTGTCTCTCCATGCTCTCTTTCAACACTAATTTGGCTTCCACCATCATTGAATGCCTTCTGGTCACCCTGCTTGAAATCTTCTGTAAATCTTGCTTGCCAAATGCTAATCAGATTTGACAGAAATGATTAATCAGTGATGGGGTGGATCAGGTCCTCCTGGACTCAGTCTTTGGGGATTCTCAAAAGGGTCTCCATCCTGTCTCTCCATGCTCTCTTTCAACACTAACTTGGCTTCCACCATCATTGAATGCCTTCTGGTCACCCTGCTTGAAATTTCCTTGGAACTGTAATGCCTTCCCTCTAACAATGCCTGGTTCCTCATTGAGAATGGAAGAATCGAGCGGGTTTCAGAACCAGAAAGGGAGAAAACAATTAGAAAAAAACACAACCAAAAACTCAAGCTAGTTGCCATTTTCCTTTGGTTGGGGTATATGACCATTGGGGTAGAGGATATCGGTATATATAGAGAAGCAACTCATGTCACAACAAATTCTTTTCCAATATTAAATTTTGTCTATGGAGCACATCCAATTTTAAAACACTTTTGTATATTCAATAGAACAAAGTCAAGGATAAATTAACCAACTTTTGATCTCGTAATATGATTATGAGTTAATTTTTTGCTTATCCTTGATAAAATGTATAAACTTAAAGTAGAAATTGGTTATCATTTATCTTATTATAACATTTGGCGGAAAGCCATCTTTCAAAGATAATGAAGTGTAAATTCAGTGAGGGTTTGTTTGGTCAAATGGTTAAAATTCAGTAAATAATTAGTGATAGGTAATTAATAGTGGTAATAGATAGCGATAACGAGTAGCGAATAACGATTAGCAGATAACAAGTAGCATATAACAAAAAGTGAGTAGCAGATAGTAAATAATGAATTTAATTAATATAATTATTTAGTTATATAATAATTAATTGTTCTTATTTAAAATTAAATAACTAATAAGAAAATATTTAAAAATAATTAAGTATATTTTTTATTATTAAAATTATTAATTTTATAAAAAAATAATATAAAATAATTATTCTTATAACACCACCATTTTTAAATATTTGGTCAACAACTTAGTGTCCAATGAGAATTTTTTTCTAATGAGAGTAGGAGATTTTGGCATAGATAAAAATTCTTAGACATAAATGATCCAAAAAAATATTTTAAAGTATTTTCTTTTTAGAATTTT